AGCAGCATCTTTTCCTAAAAGGGATCCCCCAAAAGGGCATTATGCTGCACAGAATTAACAGTTTGACATAGAAGACAATGTGTGGAAGAGAAGAGAACAGAAGAGACTGGAAGCTGGTTTTAGCAGAAAGCTGCAAAATGTCACTGACATATGGGGAAGTCTCTACAGAAGGTTTCAGGTAGCAAGACTTGGACATTTGGGAAGAACAATTAATTTTGCAAGTACTCATCATGTCCCCAGTCAAAATATCCATGATGATAGACCAACCTCTGTTTATAAGGGAACAAGATGGCTGTTGTTCCCAAAAGGTCTGACATGAGATGGGTAAACAACATTCATTTTACCTTCTATCTCTGGATATTTCAAAAGGATCAACAACCCATATCTCAGTGTGCTGCTGCTTGTCTCTGTTCCTGCAAAGAATAAGTCAACTGTAGAGACAAGCAAGTTGTCAATGCTGAACTCAGATGTGCCATTCTCTTTTTCCTGTAGAAACATGAGTATACTCAGTGGAGTCAACTTGACTGTGCTGGGTAAATTATATATTTAATATAAATACATCTATCTGTCTGTCTGTCTGTCTGACATATAGGCCACTCTGTCTGTCTGTCTGTCTGTCTGTCTTATAGGCCACCGTTCTCCTAATAAGGGGACCCAAGGCAGCTGACAGTATTAAAAAGAATAGAATTAAAAACATAATAAGCTACACATTAAAAACAATTAAACTTACTAAAATACAATTGAATAATTAAAAGAAGTAAAGTGTTAAAAACTATCATAATTTTAAAATGGCATTTAAGGACTCAGTCATGATTGTTGAAAGCCTGCCTGAAAACGTGGGTCTTCAGCTGTCAGTGGAAGGATATACATACATTATAGACACAAGCACAATATTATATTTTACTTTTACTATACACACACGTGAAAGTATTTTGTACTTACATGTATAATAAAAGTACAAAATAATAAACAGAAGAAAAGAAGCTGGTGAGAAACTGGGAAATGATAGGCGTTTAAATCACTAGGAAAAAATGTATTTCTGAATGTGAGTGAAAGCAAAATGGGTTGATAATGTTTCACCCACTTTAGTCATCTTTGAAAGAAGATGTTGATTGGATTCAGTTGGGGAAGCCAGAATAATGCAGGGACTGTCACAGATGGAAGCACACTCTGAGAAGCTCAGGACAGAAGGGCAGTCCTTGCCAAGGATAACTCAGAACATGAAGAGAGCCTCATAAACATGGTGGCTATTTACTCAAAGGAACAACACTGGCAACAGCTTTTAGAGCTGAAACACAAATGAGGTTTCACGAGCTAGCAAGCACCTGATAACTAACTGGAAACAGCTGGACATATTGAGAGCTATACATTACCTGATAACTAACTGGAAACAGCTGGACATTTGTGGGAGGCATATTGAGAGCTATACATTCTGCTCTTACAATTTGCTTGAGTTCTGAAGACAACAGTCTTAATTAAGTGACACCTTGCATTATTTTAGCCTGCCTAGACTCTTGGGTAATCTTTGTGATTGGCTGCTCCCTATTTGACAAGCTTCATGGTCTACTGCAGTGGTCCCCAACCCTGGGCCTCCAGATGTTCTTTGACTACAACTCCCAGAAGCCTTCACCACCACCTCTCCTGGCCAGGATTTCTGGGAGTTGAAGTCCAAGAACATCTGGAGGCCCAAGGTTGCGGACCCCTGGTCTACTGGATGGAATTCTAAGCTTGAAAAAGGGAATTCTGAACAACAGCCCAGCATTTGGAAGTACTTTTTATGACTGAGTTTCCTGAATTTGCTGCCTATCAACATTGCAGACCCTCCTCCATTTATACAATGAGATATGCACCAGACACATGACTAGCATCTTGATCATGACTCCAATTTGCAAATTTTTACAGGGAAAAAAATCTTACCAACCAGATGTAATGCTGTTATGGAATATTTTGTATACCAAGGATGTTTGTTATGTCCCAATTTCCCCCATACCCAGAGTTGTCTGTAGGTTTCCATCTTTTTTTAATACATTTATGACCATTGTGAGCTGGAGCCTCTTTTAGAAACTAGCCCTGTTTCTATTCTCATGATCCTTGACCAGGTATATGATGATCTGGGAAAGGCATGTGCTTATCATAGTTGTCCTGGCCAAGGCCAGCAACTTCAGGTAAAAAGCAAAAAAGGAAAAAGTGTGCTGGTTATATACCGTCCCATAGCTCTTGAAATACTCCATGGGCAGTTTACAATTTAATTATGGAGGCTACACATTGCCCCACCCCCTCAACAAGCTGGGTACTCAATTAACTATTATGCAGGCTACACATTGCCCCACCCACTCAACAAGCTCAATTTACCCACCTCAGAAGGATGGAAGGCGGAGTGAACCTTGAGCCAGCTATCTGGGAATAAACCCTGGTCATGAGTGGAATTTAGGCTGCAGCACTGAAATTTAACCACTACACCATGAGGTACCTGGAACTGGGAAACTGTTGTGGTTTCACTTAAAGTACATGTGTTATCTGTCTTAAAGCTATAAAAGACACCTGGGGTCTTTGTTGTGTTATCTGTCTTAAAGCTATAAAAGACACCTGGGATCTTTGTTCGAGTCTCCATAAAGGTCATGGCCAGTGGATGCTGTACACTCAGGTCATGCAGAATGACTTGCTCCTGTTTCTTGGGCCCCTAGCAGGCAAAAAAGTTTCAGATCTTGTCTTTGCTTTTTGTTCTGTTCTGGCTTCATTAAGGTTATTCTCATAGTATTTATCACAGCTGCTATGATATATGTATTCAGCCTACTATGATTTTTCTCTTTTCCCTTTCTTTTCATAAATCTTTGTAGCCTTACCTCACTAGTGCGGGGGATCCAAAAAGGATCTATTGCCCCTTGCAAGATACCAGATCAAACTGAAATTAAGACTTGAAAAGCCACTTTGGGTCCTTTTAAGTAGAAAGGTGTGGTGAAAATATTTTAAATAAATAAAATAAATAAATAAAATGAAAAATTAGGAGAAACTGAAACTGACAGATTCTTCCATATATAAGTGATTATGCTCTGTAAAGATCTGGCTTACTTGCAGTTTTCTCCTCAATCCAGACAGCTTGTCACAGTTACAACAGCAATGGAGAAACTGCTCAATTCTTGCATTTTGTTCCTGAGGTGTTCCTCAGTTCTGATTAGAGACAAGTGGCTAAAGACTTAGACCCAATTATATGTTAGAAATAACTGATCACTAGAAGAGAGAAGTTCTTAATGTTGAAAGCATCTGGATGTCACAGCAGAAACTTGCCTCACCTCCTGAAAGCAGAAATTTAGCTTGCTTTATTTTGTGATTAGTCTTCAGGAACTAAACCAAATTTCTTACACATGAAGATCTTTCTGGAAATCCAAAGCCATTGCAGCTCTTGTAACAGGTTATCTGTAATGTGTAATTTGGCCCTTAATAATTAGTCACTTTAGAGAAAAGGTGCCCTAAAGGAGAACACTCAAGGAATCTCCATCTTCAGCAATTTTCAAGAAATACCACACAGCTGTCAGCCATTTGAATTTTTTTTCATGTTTCCCTGAAGAGCATGATTTTAGTCTTACCTGATCTATTTTAAGAAGGAAGCAGTCAATAAAATCTCGAGGGGTGCTGGGGTCCAGAGTGACCCTGTGCTGTTTAACATGCTCCAAAACAAATTCTTTCAGTGCTGCATCACTTTTCACAAACCTTTGATGTGGTCCAGGAAGGGCATCCATGAAGGAGGGAAAGAAATTGTAGAGCTAAAAAAGGAATGACAAAAATGACAGATCATCACCATCAATTATTCTTTCTTCTCATGGACAAGTAGAGATGAATTGAGACTTCATCTCAGTGCAGCTGGCAATTCACATTACAGCCCCAAAGTAACTGGATTGCCAAGAGAAAAAGCAGGTAAGTTCACCCATCCATTCTAAAGTAAAGGCACAATAGAAATCTCTTACTTGAAACAAGAAACATGGCATTTTTGTTCTTACATACTCAAATCTGATACTGCTCTTCTCATAACTAAGCCCATAGATTGCCACTCATGCATCTCCTAAACCTAGTGGGTCGAGCTGTCTGAGAGAAACAGCCTTTGACTTCTTTATTGCTTCTTTCTTTTGAACTCTTTTGTATACCTCCAAAAAGGCATGTGAATAATGTGATTTGTCTGTCCGGGAGTAAAAGGGTAGATAAAGGCCATAGATCAGTAGCAAAGGATGTGCTCTGCATGTAGAAGGACAAAATATTAATTCTTAGCTTCTACAATTAAAAATAGGAAAATACTACTGCCAATTCAGTGTAGACAATATAGATCTACATCAGTCTGAACAACCTCCAGAGATCTGCAGGCTATACATGTCCATTCCAGAACCACATCAGGTTCCTTGATTTCCTAACATGAAAAAAGCCATTTTAAATTTCATTTTATAGGAAAATATACTCTTGCACAATCTATATATATTTGTGTGTGTGTGTGTGACGTACTGTTAAGTTGGAAACGACTTACTGTGACTCTAATAGCGCTTTCAGCGTAAGTGAGATATTTGAGGAATGGTTTTACCAGTTTTACTTGCCCAGTCAGTTTCCATGGCCTAGTGGGGGATTTCAACCCTGCTCTGCAGAATCCAAGTCCATCACTCTGCACTATCAGTCAGTTTCCATGGCCAAGTGGGAATTTCAACCCTGCTCTCCAGAATCCATCACTCTGCACTACGCCACATATTTCAATAGAATGTCTTTCATGTCTGCATTCAGGAAGCAAGAAATGCTGCACCGTCTTGCACACAAGTAGCACTGTGGGAGAGGGCTCCTCACACAAGACATTTAGCGTCCACATATAAATATAAAACATGAAGTCACAGATTCCGTGGAATGATAAGCTTTCAGCAGCAATTTGGACTACAATTTGGAAACTACCTCATGGTATAAAAGGGACCTTCTGTATGCAAAAAGCTCCAATAGACTGAAATACAGAAATGTAACATCAGTCCACATAAGCCTAAGGACATCATCAGCTTTATGCAGCATAACTGCATACTGGAATTGAGCTATAGTTGAATTACGCCACATAAAAATGTAGATTACATAGAAAACAGGATAACCACCCACCTGCCCCCAAGGGGAGCTTAGGACAGCAAAGGAATCATTTATGAAGCCGGTCATCTTTAGGAATTTCTTGTCATCATAATCATATCGGTTTCCAAAGACAATGGCACAGATGACATTGGACAAAGCACAGCTGAATAGAAAAGTTGGATCAAAGGGCTTTCCTGAAAGTACAAACACACAAAAAATTAATCTGGATCAAAGCCAATAACTAAGCTGGGGACTTCTGAGCTTGCATCCGCTGGCAGCTAGCATTAATTAGATATTAACTTTCTCCTTAATGTTTTGCCAGTGATTTGGAGCAGTTCTCTATTCTTTTGGTGGGGTCAATCATCTTCATGTAGATTAAGACAGCACTGGAGAGATTCATCATTTCATTTCATCATTATCATTCCTTAGAATAAATAATCCAATAGTGCCAGAGAACCATACCTCAAAGCATACTGTCTCTCCCCATATGAGCCTGAGGTTGGGATGGGTGGAGAATCTGGGCACTGCTTGCTTATGGTTCCAATTGAGTTGTGAGTTTGGTTGAAGTTTAGAGCAGACCCTTCTCAGGTAAGAAGGTTTAAAATTATTCTACATTCATTCAAGAAATGGCACCCACAGAACAAACTTCTGGGTTCCAGAAACAAAAAATATTTTCATGCAGTATGCAGTTCTAGCTAAGAGTTTTTTGTATCCTTTTGTGTAAGAAATCTGTACAGTTTGAATACCGCCTGTAATTTCAATTTATTTTATTTTATGTCATATGAAGTTTATTTCTAGACAGATTCACATGGACTATAAATGCCAACATGCTAATGAAGAAGGCACAGAAGAGGCTGTATTTCCTGAGAATGCTCGGCAAGTTAAATTTATCTCAGCATTTACTTCTGTCATACTATCGTAGCACCATTGAGAGTGTCCTAACCTATGGCATTCTGGCATGGTTTGAGAGTAGCTCTGTAGCGGACAAAAAAGCTCTACAGAGAACCATTAAAATTGCCCAGAATATCATCGGGCTCCAGCTACCAACCCTGGATGACATCTTCACATCCCGCTGTCTGAGGAAGTCACACAGCATCCTGAGAGACTCTTCCCATCCTGCTTATAACTTTTTTGAACTGTTACCGTCTGGCAGAAGATATAGAACAATTAAGACTCGGACCACACGTTTTCTAAATAGTTTTTATCCTAGAGCTATAATTGCAATTAATAATGAGCTTAAAGACCACCAGTAGTGAATAATTAGTTGGACTGTGTTACTTGGACTGAGGTGTAGATGTTTGTATTTTTAGTGGGGGACTTCTAGTGGGTGGGGAGTGTTTGGGGAATGTTATGTGTGTGCATGTGTCTGGTCTCTGGGTGTCTGTGAATTTCGTTGTATGGTATACTGTGTATATACTTACAATGACAATAAATTATATTATTATATTATATTTAACTGAGGTACAATTCTGAATATTTGCTGTCCCTGCTCCTTACATCATCTTCAACATGGAGGGGAGAGTGTTTTATTAATGTAATGTAGTCTGGCTGATGTAAAATGTCACATAGGAATTAGTTTAATTTTTGTTTTACAGATTTCTGCTGATCTACATGGGCGATTGATAACAAGGTTCTTGTTCCAATGATAGGAGGAAGAGTCTCCATTCAGCCATGAATACAAAAATACATATGTTAGATAGAACCTACTATTGTAATACGTATGTGGCCTCCTTGCAATAATACTGAGGTCACTCTTGCTTTCTGCTTTTTGAGAGCTACAACAGTGGTGCCCCACTTGACGATGTTAATCCATTCAGTTAAAATCCCTGTTAAGCGATATCGTTGTCAAGCGAAAGAAAAAACCCATTGAAATGCATTGAAAACTGGTTCAATACGTTCCAATGGGCAAAATACCTCATTGTCCAGCAAAGATCCTCCATAGGGGAAGCCATTTTCGATTGCTGTCTTCTGGAAATAGGTCTGGAAAATAGTGGGTGGCCATTTTGAAAACCTGACGATCAGCTGTAGAGATCGTTGTGAAGCGAAAAATCGGTTCCTGAAGCAGGGAACCAATAGTCACGAAGCGATTTTCCCCATTGAAACATCATTTTGCGATTGCAATAGCGATCGCAAAAACCTCATCGTTAAGTGATTTTGTCATCTACCGGGGTAATCGTCAAGCGGGGCACCACTGTAACTGTATTTAGGAGGCAATGTCAAATGAGATTTTCTACCATTTACAAACGGTACACAATGTTACACTTCAGATTGTCTTGAGCATTTTCAGGGAGAGAATATGAATAAGGGTGTGTACACTGGAAAACTAAATTAGAAAGATTCAGCTTTGCTGTGATTTGATTCACGTTCTGTATTACATTAGAAATTGCAACATCTGCTCATACAGAGGCTGCAGATTGATCCAGAAATTCATTGTTCATACTGGATGCAGTGTGAGTTGCATTCCAGTCCACAACCACATTTCTTTCCTTCCTACCTATGCTTCTGCCTCTGCTAATCCTTTTATTGTTTGCTATGGAGCTGCCTTCTTAGTTAAAGCTTCATACTACTACATTTCCAAAAAACATTTTCTATAGAAAAAAATAAAATGGAAAAATATTTCGCAGTCTCCAAATAGTTTAACTTAGTTAAAAACCACATGTCACTAGATATAAGGTAATTCTTGCATGCTTTACTTCAAAATAAGGAGTAATGGGAAGTAGTGATTCCAAATACAGTGGTGCCTCGCTTAGCGATGTTAATCCGTGCAGCAAAAATCTCTGCTAAGCGATTTCATCGCTAAGTGATATTAAAAAGCCCATAGAAACGCATTAAAACACCATTAATGTGTTCCTACGGGCTTAAAAACTAACCTTAAGCGAAAATCCTCCATAGGGGCGGCCATTTTCGGTGCCTCTAAAGCGAGGCAACACAGTGCGTGGCCATTTTGTTTACCTGGTGGCCATTTTGGAACCACCGATCAGCTGGCCGAAAATGGGGGCTTTGCGATGATCGCTTCCCTGCGATCATTGCAAAGTGAATTTTCCCCATAGGGATCATTGCTAAGCAATCACAAAAGCAATCACAAAAACATTGTTGCAAAGCGATTTCTTCATTAAACGGAGCGATCGCTATGCGAGGCACCACTGTACAGTGATTTTGAATTGTAAACCATGATTTATTTTGCAAAATTACTGTTCAGACTTCTGATGTTCTGTATTCTGAGACTGTGAAGTACCTTTCCATGTTATTTTGCTATAGAAAACTTTTTCAGACATGTAGTAGTTTGAAGCTTTATATGAGAAAGCAGCTCCACAGAAACCCACAATCATGGTGATTTGCTTTTGCATGCTCCTCTAGTCCTCAACATCACTGTGGCATTCACCCTCGTGCCCCTTGCTTGACTGTCAAGCCTCAGAGCACACGAAGGCAAACAATCCGCTCTTTTACACTGCTGCCACCAGGTGATCACTAAATCACCATAACCTCCGGAAGATTCAGGTCCACACTTCAAAGTCTTTTAAATACAACTTTTGTTTATTGATTACAGAGATTGAAAGTGATTCATGAATATCTTCCGTAGGAAAAGGTATTATTAACAACAACCTTCTAATTGGCAGTATACTCTTAATTCTAATCACACCTCAGAATTCCCCAAACTCCACACTCTATCTACTTCTTGTCAGAAAAGGCAAGCTTCCGAAGAAACTACTTTTTCACGGATCAGAGAGGGTCCGGAATGATCAGCTCCTTATCAGGCAAAATCGGGTCCATTAATTTTACCCTAGGGCAGCTGAAACATTCTTTCTCCCAAGTCTGACCCAATTTAACAAAGAACAAAACACTTACAGGAGTTCTAGGAGATCTAATCATCCTAGTACTCTTTAATATGTAGGACCCCAAATTGGTAGCATGAGCGTGACCTGATTAAACACAACAATTTAAAGTAGTCAATTAACTATTGTAGCTTATGGTCTATCCAAGAAGCCAACTTCCAGACATTTAGCATTTTCTTATTTTATTAGAAAAATAGAATTTAGAAAGAAATTATTTTAAACAAGCAAAACAAGACATTTTTACATAATCAATCATTTCCAAATCCCAGCCATCACCAAAAGATATAATTCCTCTACAAAAACAAAAATAACAAAAAACTAACTACATTTTCAATAAAACTAGAGATTCTATTAGGTAGAGTTTAATCTTACTGTCC